TGTGGAACACTGGTAAGGCAGAATGTAGGATGGGTCGCTAAAACGTTCTTAATTTGATGTTATAAGAATAAGGAAGGGCAAACTGCCAGAAGGGTAATTTTGAAGGATTTCTTCACACACAACAGCAATGGAGTGAGTTACGTTTTCCCCCTTAAACATCATAAATGAAGTATTTGGAAAAGTTTCAGAACAGAGTAAGAAGTTTTTAAATCAGTACTATTCAAATACGTAATCTGGAAATCCAGTTGGTATCAAAGGATAGCAGTTCTTTGATTTCAATCCCTGATAAAAATATACTGTAGAACAATGATATTTAAAGGATATTTAAATAAAGACTTTTAGCTTGCTATTAAAAATCTCAGCTAAGGTAACTTTTTAAAATCAGCTAACAAGACACTTCAGGTACTCAATGTAAAGTTTTTCACAGAATCACAGAATTGTAGGGGTTGGAAGGGACCTCCAGAGATCATCGAGTCCAACCCCACTGCCAAAGCAGGTTCCCTACAGCAGGTCGCACAGGTAGGCATCCAGGCAGGTCTTGAACATCTCCAGAGAAGGAGACTCCACCACCTCCCTGGGCAGCCTGTTCCAGTGCTCCGTCACCTCACTGTAAAGAAGTTCTTGCACACGTTTGTGCAGAACTTCCTATGCTGCAGTTTCCAGCCGTTTCCCCTTGTCCTGTCTCCACTCACCACTGAAAACAGTCTGCCCTGCCATTCTGCCCCCCACACCTTAGATATTTATAGACCTGGATCAGGTCCCCTCTCAGTCTTCTTTTCTCAAGGCTGAATAGACCCAGTTCACTCAGCCTTTCTTCATAGGGGAGATGCTCCAGGCCCTTCACCATCTTCATGGCCCTCCGCTGGACTCTTTCCAAGAGATCCCTGTCTTTTTTGTACTGGGGAGCTCAGAACTGGACACAGTACTCCAGATGAGGTCTTACCAGGGCAGAGTAGAGGGGGAGGATCACCTCCCTCGACCTGCTGGCCACGCTCTTTTTAATGCACCCCAGTAAGCCATTGGCCCTCTTGGCCACAAGGGCACACTGGTGGCTCATGGCCAACCTGTCGTCCACCAGGACACCCAGGTCCCTCTCTGCAGGGCTCCCCTCCAGCAGGTCATCCCCCAGTCTGTACTGGTGCATGCAATTATTCCTCCCCAGATGCAAGACTCTACACTTGCTTTTGTTAAACCTCATCCGGTTTTTTTTTTGCCCAGCTCTCCAGCCTGTCCAGGTCTTGCTGAATGGCAACACAGTCTTCAGGCGTGTCAGCCAAATTTTTTTTATGGCAAGTTACTCCCATTTTGCTAAATAACACTGATTCTTAGTGATTACTTACCTATATGATAAATTTATTGGCAACGAAATGTGTCTACGTAATACTTAGATACAGTCAAAGAGTTTTAATTTTGACATATAAAGATGTATGAAAATGGTGGTTCAATAGAAGAAGTTGAATAAATGATTTGTGTCAAAGAAATAATGAAGGGAAATATGAACAAATGAAAACACAGACATCACTAGTTTTAAATATATTTTTAAGAAATATAACATATCCAAGCACACTTTGTATTTAAACTCAATGCTCTACCACTTCACTCAGAAGAGCCACTGGAAGCTAGTAAACCAGATGCCTTTAGTCAGTATATGAGATGTTAACAGCACGTAAGGACGATGTGTCCTGACAAGCAAGATATCTTCTCCATCTTGCAACAGCACTGCTTTAGAGGGAGAGCACCAGCAAAACACAGAAGTGGCAGAACCAGGTAAAAGACACATGAAGAGTCCCTGTGTGATATACCAGCAGGATTTCAGGAAAATAAATGGGCCACACATTTCAGCATAAATGCACCTCTAACACAAACATGTTGTGCATTCTGTAATACAGTTTTCTGACTTGAAGAATTCTTGCCCCCTCTGTGCTTGGACAAAGCAGAACTGCTTTCTTCCTGGCAAGCTGTGGCAACTCCTGCTCTACAGAGCTTCCTGAATGGCTGCTGTAATGTGATTGACTCCAGATCAATTATGTTTCTAAATAAGATTAAGTTACACGCTCCTTCTGTCTCCATGTTACAGGAGATTATTCTTTGCAGAATCTCAAAAGAAGCAATTAGCTGACCACTGATGTAATGAATGCTAATTATTTTGTTTGTACAAACAATAAAGCCAGAATCATTTGTATAGCAAGGAAGTGTAATTGCTCTGAGCACTTGAGAAAAGAAACCGAACAGTGCTACTCAGACTATAAATAATGACCTTCCGACTTCCTATTTATGCTAAGAATGCTCATGGAGTATTATAGTTAGCTGAGAACCAGGTTTTGAATGTAACTTTTATCATATTTATTACTGAGCTTTTGCTCAAGTGCATCCTTGCATGTGCTAGGTGTCCTGCAGAAATATCCATCAACATTGCCCCATCACTGGCACCTGCTAAAAATTCACTGTAGCCAGTGCAATTTCCTGCAACTGTTTTCTGTTAATCAACAAGAAGCTGCTCACTTCAGAATCATTAGCCCCATAATGTTCCTAACGGCACCAATGGCTTAAGGCATGTTCTCAGTGAAGGACTAATCAGAAAAAAGCATATTAATAAATGTGGAGTAGGTTCTATTCTGGCCAACACTGCGAAATGCAGACAAGTAATGGAATAATAACAGAATGCAATAGATTGAGACTGCCTGCAGCTGTGTTCTCCCATTTGCCAGGTTGATCTGCAATATATTTATGACTCAAACATGAGAGAAAGCAGAGCCACTAGGGATCTCATGTTGCAGAAGCAGAGATCAGACCAAAATGCCTAAAAATTTACCACCTCTGCAGATTCTGTGCGACCCAGAAACACGGGGGAGCTGAGAAGTTACAGGTAACCTGATCCCTAAGCAGGGATCCACAAACCTCCCAGTGCATGCAAACCACTGGATGTAGCAAGTACAGCGACGCTGCCCCAACCATGGATAGTTTCTGCAGGAATGAACTCCCAGGATCAGCCATTCTAAGTGGTATTTTTCTCCATGGTTTTGAAATGATATTCAAAACATACAAAAATATTTTGTCTAATCTTTCTTTCATTTCTAGTCACACATTGTTGAATCTGAATTTAAAATAAACTTCACAGATTCTAATTCTATAGTTGGTTTGCTTTTCCTCTCAGCCTGAATAGCAGTGCACCCAAACTGGGTCAACATTGTTTTCCATTTCAAGTGGTGCTCAATCAAATTATGCTCACATTCTGATAAAAGCCTCAGCATGAATGAAAAAAAAGACACCTCACTTATGTTACTTGAATTCCAACTATAGACATGGTATACAGAGACTGAAAATTCTGAAGTAGGCAGAATCTCACTTCAGTGAGCAAGGTTAGGTTTGGACATTTGTACTGGCTTGTGAGGAAACTACAAATAACTTGTTGGTGGAATGGAAACCATTTCCTTTCTTCATATGAAGTATTTCAGTTCTTCCCACACCAAATTGTTCTCTTTGCTTGTGTTCAGTAGCTATCAAAAACACAGAGAATGCTTTTTTGTCCTTTTGCTATGGGCCCAATTGACAAATGTTTGCTGCCCACCACTACATTATTGCAGTTTCCTCGAAGATTAACAGAAGACTTCAATCTCTTTTGGAGAAGTTGAGGAATAAATGCCACGTATCCTGAGTCATGAGAAATAGATGAATTAAAAATTGATATCTAATTGCTCAGTGAAGATGTCTCAAGGTGATGCTTCAAGATTGTATATACATATATATATACACACACACACACACACACACACATTTTTTTAATGTTTTTTTCCCCACTCTACAGAAAAAAACTCTATCTAACTGAATTCCACAGTCAGTCTTCTGAACTGCCTCCTCTAGCAGAAAGCAGCTCTGCTATACTTTTGGCTGCCACTGCACCAAGTATTAAAATGTTGGATTTTTTCCAACCAGATAAATTCTACTACTCTTTTCATCTTACCAACAATGAACAATTCATGCTGAGTCAGAAAGGCAAGAATGGAAACTCTTTGAGCCAAATGTGGCCAAAACTATGCAGGAGGTGTGTGATCTACCATGGATAGATCAGTACTTCACTGGGGAAAAATATGGGAGATGCTACACCATTTGAGCACCAGAGAAATATCTCATCCTGAAAGGGGAAGTCTTAACTTCTGACCATACTAGAAGTATGGTCACTGTATTTTACCCTTCAAATATTGGTCTCATTCTAAAGAGATATTTTTTGCAACTAAAGAAATCAAGAGCTTGGTTTATCTTAAGATGACTTATGTGATCATGTTATCATGTTCATGCAAAATGCTGCTTATCCAATTTATGTTCTGTTGAGCAAATAGAGCCTTCTTTCCTTGTGAAAATGGGAGGAAAGGGAAATAATAGTGAAAGTAGAAGCTAACTGCCTGTAAAGAAAGTAAGCCCTGACTTTATGAAAAAGGCATCATTAAAGCTTCTTGGATTAAATAAGAAGTTGGCAGTATTTTGTTTTCTTTAAGCTTGTCCTTATCTTTTAGGCTACTGCTTCTGTTTCTTATGTCATCACTTCCAGAAGAAACTCCTTCACAGGAGAAATTCTGCTTCTTATAGCAAGGATTTAGTCTAATAACATTAAGTAAATCTCTACTTTCTCTGTTTTTCTGCATTAGTAAGAGAATGGGCTGAATGATCCAAAGCAATTTTCCAGAAGTTTCAAAAGGAATCAGAAGGCATTTTTCAAGGTTATTTTAATAGGAACTTGGTCTCTAAATTCTTTTGAGAGAGACTTCAACCCTTCCTTAGTTTCCTTAGAAAAAATGAATTAAGTTCAAATAGCATAGCATATGGATATTCCTCTTTTAGGGATATAGCTCAAGAGCAAAAACTTCTAAAAATAATAAAGGAGAAAAGAAAGGATCTTAATGATAGAATGATCTCAAGAATCTTAAAAAATTCTAATTCCGAATAATTATCTGTGAAATGTTGGATAAAATATTTTTTAGCTTAATGACAGGAAAATTTCATACCTTTCTAAATCTGTCTGGTTTTTCTGAAGATCCAGTAATCTGTTAAAGAAAAAAAAAAAAAAAAGGTGAAAAAAGCATGAATTTAAGATCCCCGTGGAACCTATAAATGAGTATTCACCTCATAAGGGACGTTTCTTTAAATTCATGGTCATCTGGATAGAGTGAACTAGCAGGTGATATATTTTTAATGAGCTTTTTAACACACATCAGACAGAAATTTAAAATGTTTTCAGGCTCTCAGCTATTTGAATCAGATGAAGAATTTTAGCAATAGCCTTGATTTTACTGACACCTATCGACTACATTTATGCTTACACAAGGTTTTGATGAAACATGATTACAATCAGTGGAAAACAAAACTAAAAAATATGCTCTTTATTAGCAGAGGGTATGCTTACCTTCTGAACCCTTTGAGGAATTTGTGTTTTAAGTAAGCTTTGGTTTTGATGGCTTCCTAAAGCAGAAAATTTTCTAGGGCTTCAAACTTTAGGTGCTCAATTTCTGATTCCTTAATTCTATATCGAAAGTGCCAAATGCATAACTGAAAAGTCTAGTCCTACAGTTAACGTATCTTGAACAGTTAACATAAGTACTTGAAAATTTTTTAGTAATAATTACATAAGTTTATGCTAAGAACACAGAAATATCTTTAGCATGGCCTGGAATATTTCATACATGCAGGTGAATTCTGCCATCCTTAGTATATCATTAGACAAATTCTTTACTCATTTGGTTCACACATTAAAATACCCTGCAGAGAAATATTCTGAACATTGTTTATAAAGGGAAAAAATAGCTCATATCTTTTGTTTTAATACAAGGAGGTTTGTGCTTATATTCATAAAGCTATAGTTTCATTTGCTCTGTTTTTCATTTTGTTTACTAAGGGAGGTTTCAATTAAGCACATATAAATGTATCGCTGAATTGAGACTAGCAATTTGAAGCAACCTAAAAGAGCAGTGGCAGAGATCAGCAACTGCAAATTGAGTGCTGTCACCTACCGGTGAAATCGTGGATTCTTTCAGTTTAGATTTGTAAAGCATCCAGCGGTAACGCAGGTCTTCCAGATCTTCAGAATTTCCAATGACAGGATGAAAACGAAGAAGGTCTTCAAAGCGACGCTGACCATCAGGCACACGAGCCTGCAGCTCCTGCAGCCAAAGCAAGGTCACTAACAACTTGGAATTCAGGAGGGTTTCATTTTTTTAAAAGCTACCACTAAATGAACAGTTGTATTAAATAAAACTACTGGATATTCAGGGTTAGTTGCTCTTTTGGCCTGAAATGGTCCACTCATCTGTAGAATCCCTGTGGCTTTGGATATTTCTGTTTGCTTCATTTCTTACAGCATCCATTGTTATGGCATTCAAATGAAACCAAAGGAGTAATTCTAAATAGCAAGTAGATATTTTAATCACCTTAACAAATATATTTGATACAGTATGCTGAAACTGTCCAGTCCAGCACCTACAGGACATGCTTCTCTTTTCACTTCTACAACTTTGGCTCTGGCAGATCTTTCTAGGAGTGAAATACTTGTCTTAATTTCCTAAGCTTACTAGTTCCTCTTTAGCTCTGGAGTCTCCTAACACAGAGAATATAAGAGTTTTTTTGCCTTTGTTTTTTGATTCTGAAAGAATCTGCACTTATTGCAATCTTTGTCTCTCTCTTCACCTCTGGAAAACTAACCTCCAATTCTTTGTGGCGTGTCTTGATTTCCTCTATGGAAGACAAATTCACAGCAAGAATTTTGGAGAGTTTGGTGTTTTCTCCTTGTAACCACTCTTCAAAGTCAAGCAGGAGCTTAATGTGGTTGCTTGTCCTTTGCCCTTCTGCTGTCTTCTCCTAGATTACAGGACAACAGCAACAAATAACAAGCCGTTACTGTTAAGTCAGATATTTCTTCTGAAGGCCTGACTGTGAGATCTTTATCTTCAAGCATACAACTCATAGTATCAAATGAAGCCAATAAAATTGTTCTTGTGAAGCTGATGATAAAGGCAGACTCAAAGTTCCTCTCTCACCTGCTTATGGTTGAGATCTAAACAATGGAAGACTGGTCCAGAAATGTGTCTGCTATCTTCAAATGCTATTTTCTTCTTATCAGCCATTGGTATGTTTAACTGCCACCTTTTGAGAAGACTGTAAAACACAAAATCAGACATCAGAACGGTGAGACACCTGGTGGTGAGATGCCCACATTTTGATCAAGACTATGCGGGACACCTCTGCTGGTGAAATAGCACTATTGTCACTTATTACTATTATTATTAATTCCAATATCTTTTTAACTAAAATTAAAAAAAAAAAAAAAAGGCAGGACTTCTTCAAAGCAGCACTGTTCTCTAGTCCTAATATTTCTATTTCTAATATTTTCATTGAAGTTTTTTTGTTGTTGTTGTTTGTTTATGTTTGTTTTTTCTTTTTTTTTTCCATTACTGGGTAGAGTGAGCATAGAAAAAAGACATGTACGAACACTTACCCAGTTGCCATTTCTTTCAGTGATCTCCAAGACTCCTTCAGCTGATCCAGCTCTGCCTGAACATGGGCAGTCTCCTCTGGGGAAGAATTCTCCATGACCAGCTGGCCATGAGCTTCCACAAGGTGCAGCTGGATCTCCTTATCTGGAAACTCAGCTAGCCATCTCTGAAACGTACAGTCCTTAAAGTTACTTCTAGGTATCCTGGGTAAAGCAGAGGCTATGTCAGACTGAAGGCCATGTTCAGTCCAGGCTATGCTGCTTCTGTTGGCACTAGCTAGAAAATACCTAGCGAGAAAAAAAATATGCTGTGGATTCTTGCAAAGAGCCAACATATATCAAAGAGTAGATGGCAAATCTTAAAGGCCCTAAGCTGTCGGTGCATCTCTTCTGTGGCATTCCTTAGAGATACCTTGGTTTCCCATATGAAAGCAAAAGCTGTCAGCTGAAATGACCTACCAGAGTGAATCTAGCCTGCAAAATACTACTGCATAGGAAAAAGCCAGAAGCTCTGGTAGTGCTTACTTCAAATACAGGATAAGGCTAGCTAAAACAGGGTAATGTTCAATGTGCTTGTATGTATGCATGAATAAAGAGAGTTTATCATTTTAAAACTTGTGATAACACTTTCTCATTTCAACAGTTTTTAGCTCTTTTCTCACTGTTGTTTTTTACCTAGTTCCATATACCACAGCATGGGGCAAAGCAGGAAGGCAGCAGCAAACAAAAGTTGTCTCAGCAGGAACAAACCTTTACAGTTCTTCTCAGTCTGGAGCCCCTTGCTATAAAACCCTTTCTCTTAAGGTCTAAATGCTGCAGAATGAATAATTAACATATTGCATTAAGATGTTATTCTCACCTCAAGGTCTGCCACCCTGCTCTCATTGCTCTGCTTCACATCAACACCCTGGTAGGAGCCAATCTTCTCAGTGGTTGCAGTGATCCACTGCTGGAGGTCAGACAGTTTGTCATTAAATGCCCAGTGCTTCTGAACATGCTCTTCAGACTGCTGTATCATAATCTACAAATGATAAAAATGTCAGCAACCAAACACAGAGAAGCACTTTAATTACTGAATCTTATACTGTGACTACTGACTCAAAATCTCATGGGTAGAAAATAAAAATGAAGCTGCTAAGGAGATACAAAAAGCTTTATCTTTTAGCATCCATGGCATAGAAGACACCTAGAGACTCTTGCAGGCCTGAATTTAACCACATGAGGGGGCATTAAGCATGAGAATAGCTACCTTCTGTTTCAGCTGAAACAAAAAAAAAGGGCATGATTTTTTCACATCCCTGTAAATATTAAAGACATCCTATACTCACTGAATCAGAAGTCGGTGTGACAATTTTATTTTTTGCAAAATTCCAGTTCAGTGATGAATAAGATTACTGAGATTGAAACAAGAATTCCACAGAGTCTATTAGAGTAACATTTTATTACATGTAACCCCATGGTGACCTGCAAAACTAAGGTCATCTTATAAGCTCTTCCTGTGAGTCTGTTTTGGAAGATCATTTTATAGTTATATTTACAAGCTACGGAAAGTCTCAGGTCAAAACTAATACTTATAAAATTGCAACACTTTTCTGCTGTTAACTAGAATCACAAAGCTATACAAGAACAATCCTGTTCTTTTGATTGTTGGTTTGGTACTATTGCACAGTCCAGGAATCTGTGAACAAGTCTAAGGTACTGTGTAATCATGTAACTATGCAGTCTTTTTCTCAGAAATAACAGGTCCACTCCATAAATAATCCATACAGCTAAAAACAAACAAACAAACAAAACCACCCAATAATCTGTGTGGAGGGACACCCATCTCGAAGGGATAGCGTACTACAGATAACCAGAGAATCCTGGAAGAGCTACCAAAGTTATAAGAATCACAGAATCACAGGACTGTAGGGGTTGGAAAGACCTCTAGAGATCATGGTGTCCAACCCCTTAGTTCAGTACCTTCTTCACCTGAAATGAAAATATCTGTCATTCACAGCATATAATCTCCTATGCTCAGATAATTATTTTACCTTACTTTCAGATAGTAATAACTGGTAACTCATCAGGCAACTAAGAACTCTTATGTTACCTCCAGTGATCTCTTCAGGGCCTGAATGTCAGACAGAAGTTGGTTCATTTCATGTCTATGTGTTGCATTTGACTGAACAAGCTTCTCTACCTCTTCCATTTGAATTGCAAGCTCTGCCAAGTCATCTTGGATCATCTGCAGTGGAAATAACAGCATGCATATGGGTAGTATCAAAGACATGGCAAGGCCCTTTATAAGACTTTCACTAAAGGCATTTCCAGTTGAGAGTGTGAGGGCATTATTAAAAAAAAAAAAGAACAACCACTGTCATTAAGAATATTAATGGCTCGATGTCTAGAAAGCAATGGCAGGATGTTGATGTTCTTACGTGTCATTAGTTGATAACAAAGAAAACAAGCTGCTAGAAGGTGCTAGAGGAGACACAATACAATCAGGTAAATACTGACATCTTTGCACCAATAGTGAAATGGCTTAACATACCTGAATCACATCAACTCATCACAGCCACAAGAAAGAGTTATATCCTCTCTCTTCCTGTTTTGCTCTTCTCTCCCTTTTTCCCAGCTATCTAGGTTCACTTCATGACTTAAGCAGGCTCTAATGCATATTGAACCCTTTGCTGAAGCAATGCAATATCATGGTCAACCACTATTGTAATGTACCTGGAATCTCTGGAGTTGTGTCTTTTTACCCAAAAGGTTAGGCTGTGGTTCATTCTCCAAGTCTAATTTGGATTTGATGGCAAACAATTTCTTCTGCAAAGGTGCAAAAGCAGCATCAAAATCCTTATGCTGCAGTATCAAATTCTAGGTAGGGAAACAAGAAAAAAAGCATTCAACATATACTCCCTTGACCTTATTTTTAGTCTATCCAGTACTCAGAGCAAATACTAAGCCAACCACACAACAGGCCATAAATTTATATGCGTATTTGATCAGCCCAGGAAAACAAATTGAGCACAACTGGTTAATGCTAAATTTGATTCTATGAAACTGGCTTAGAAAAAGATTAACTGTCATCTTTGTTACAGTTTAAGTCTGCATACAGGCTTTGAAGCTCACCTGGAGTTTGCTTTTTCTTTGCAGTAGACTTTTGTGTAGAATTTCTCTCTCCTTTGAAGCTTCAGCTACTTCCTCCAGGAAGGATTTTGCTTTTTCCTCTCCAAGGATATTGTTCAGCAAATCTTTCTTCAGCTGTAATGTCATCAGCTTCTCTTTGAACTGTGAACTTTCAGCTAGAGCAGCCTAAAGGAAAAAAAATATTCTTCCTGTAAAATCATAACCAAGTAATAATAATAACCACATAACTGTATTATTCTCACACAAGTCACACGACCAAAGCAGTATGACAAACTCAGGTAAGAACAGCATGCTGGGCTGACAAGGGGTAACGAAAGGTACCTGGACAGTGCCCAGTTAAAGGAAAAGTCTTCCTGACAATGTTAGAAGCATCAGGGCTGCATCCATTTTGTGAACAGAAATAGAGGAAAGCTGTACTATGGAAAGAGTTGTCTGTGCAGAGGCCTAAACAACCAACAGAAAGGACAGCTTGAATGCTCATCCCAAGGACAAACTCCATCCCTGTTCACAGACACATTTATTCTGGAGATTAAAAGGGTGACAAACTAACAAATGCCTTCCTGGACACATGCAGAAATCACTCCACAACTATATTTCTACAGTCTTATTAACAGAATCCACAGAATTTCCATCAAAGGGAATTTGAGCCACAGATAAACAGCATTATCACCACTGTTAAATATAGCATATAGCTCATTCAGACTATTCAGTTGACAACTCCAGTTAACCAAAGGAAGGGCACAAAATAAGATGTTCTGCTACAGCTAGAGTTGAACTCTGTGCAGTGGAGTTTCATATCATATGGGAAAGGGCCTTCTAGCTGTTGCTTTTGGCAGCTGTATGCAGTCAGTCACTGGTGTTGCTTGGACAAATGCAAACCAAGTATCAGTTTCTGAGCTTAGGAACAGGTTTGCTACCTCAATCTGATCCAACGCTGGCTCTGGAGTCTCCAGGAGCATCTGGACAGTTAGCTTCCATTGTTCAAAACTTTGCAGGGGATTTTGGAAAAGTCTGCTCAGTTGAGTTTCTGTATCAGTGCTCATTTTAGATGTCTTTCCTTTAACACTGCAAGGATAAAGTGGCAGCTGAGAAAAGAATTACAAGGAAAACCAACTCCAAATATCCTATTCATCAGGCCATGAGTTAACATAATACTCGTGTGTAAACCACATCCAACACAAAAGCCTCAGTCTTTTACTGTCAGAGACTGCTCTTGCATACTCACAGCTGTTCTGTCTGTCAGAGATGTCTGACAAAAGTTTGTTTAGGCGCCCTAAGACACATTTTTCTCTTGTGCAACCATGTATCAGGAGCTTCGCTGTATTTAGCAGGAAGCCATTTCCTCTCCTGTGTCATTTTTCTTGGCTGCTGTCACCAGCATGATTTACAAATAGTATTATCAGAGCAGTCTCATTGAGTTTTAGGAAAAACAAGGCAAGGTTGTACAGAATTTAACCATGGTTATCTGTAGTATTTTATGTAAAGAAAAGAAAAAGTATATTTGATCACACTAAGTTACCTATAAAAGAAAAGGAAAAAAAATTTTTTTTCTCCTCAGATCTAGGTCTTTAAATTTTTTTGCCAAATTATATTTGCTGAATTTCTTGTATTTATATATGTTTTTATATATAATGTGTGTGTATGATTCTGAAAAACAATCATTTATATATATATAAATATAATATATATATAAATATATATAATTTTATATATATATTTATATATATAATATTATAATATAATATATATATATATTATTTTATATATTTATGCACATAACTATGTGAGTATATATCTACATAAATATAGATCAGCACACATTCATTAAGTATCCAGGCATCTCTTCTAAAGGCTTATCCAAAACACAGCTGAGAAACAAGGCCCACTAGGGACACACCCCAAGCAGCTGTCTCCTGTCTTTCTGAGCTTTCCTGACTTCCCAGTTCGCTGAATCCTATTAGATATGGCAGAGTGTAGCCCAAATTGTGTATTCGTATGGGAACAGCCTCCTGAAAATTCACAGGATAAGCAGGCAAGAGCAATGCCACAGACTTCCAAGGTAAACATGATTTGTTCTATCTTTCTATAAAAATAGCAAGAATAATCTTACCTGAGTCACTGGGGACATTACATAGCTAAGCAAAGACAAGTTTGCAGCTCCACAAATGTAAAGTACTGACGGCACATGTCCTTTGCCATTTGCTCTGCTGCCCCTGCTAGGCTCAGTGTGACACTGCCAGACTTTGCGAAGAAAGTCTGCGGAGAAGCTGGCAAAAGAGCAGCTGCCATTTTCTACTCAGAGGCAAGTTCTCCTGCTTTCTCTGCTTCTCTTACAACACCGTCTACTCACTAGTTTTTAAACTGAAATCCTTTTCCATAATGACCCATAACCCTCCCATTTCGGCAGCATACTGTGCACTGGATAGAAAAAAGTAAGCTTGGATATAATAAAAAGAACTGACCTTTCTTTTTCCTCTAAAAAATGATCCTTTCTTCTAATTTGCAAAATTTGCTGCCAGCTCCTTTACTTCCTGATTCCAGACAGCCTGGAAACGGAAACACTGAAGTCTAGGGAGAGGCTAAACTCTCAGAGTTTCCAAACTAAGGCAAGTTGAAAACAGGAATCATGCATGCATGCAGTCAGGAGAGAGGAATAAGCTCTGCCAAGTAATTGCTAAGGTTGATGAGTCATCACAGCAGACTCAATAAGGAAGGGGCATAATTCTTCCGAACCATTTACTACTTCAGCTTCTGCCCTGATTTTCTAGCTGCTGTCATGAAAAGCAAAAGGGTAGATAAATTATTATTACATAAGGCTAAGAAAATCAAATTAGCTGCCAACAATCTAATTTTCTTAAAACCATGCACAACATTAATGATGCATGATTACTGCATGAAAATGGCCAGCAACCTACAACTCCTAGCAAACAGCTAACATCAGAGGTTTATTGAATTGTGAAGGTGGAAAGAAAAAACACTTTTTTTCTACCTGCCACCTAGAATCACATGGCTTATTGCTTTCTTCTTAGGTGTCTGTCAATCCATTCAGAGTCTAAGATATTTCCACCCCACCCCAGCCCCTTTATAGACTTCCCACTACCTTTGATATTCCCGTATTGCAGAGATGACGCTGTCAGCGTGTGGCTGCACATCCTGGGAAAACCGCAGCAGTTCCTTTAGCTGAGCCTTCAGCCTCTCAACCTTTGACTCTTCTGCAGCCAGAACTGCTCTTGTTGCCTTAATCATAAAAAGAACAAACAGGTCACACCATATGTAGCGTCTGGCACATGAAATGATGTGCTAAGGCCATCTCAAGGTATTCACACTGCCAACTCCAAGTCCCCTTTCTGATGCCTTTTTTCCTGGCTAAATATGGATTTTGATAAGGTAGAATATATTCTCAGGAACTGTTCTCTTCATGCAGGTGCTCTCTGCTCTTCTCACTCTGCCTACCCTCTGCATCTGATCTGTGGGGTTTACAGTTTGAATGAATCACAGCTAGTCCCAGTTTCAGCTCAGTGGTTGCAGTGTATAATGAGATTCATGTCTTAACCACTTTTGTATGCAGGAACAAATCTTCTGAAACACCTATGTACGGAATGTTAATTCTATGCTGATGTAAGGTAACAAAACAAGCAAAAACCATTCTGATGTTATACAATTGAATCAGTCTGTATTTTGTGGATTTTTCTAATTAATCTATTTTTCTAATTAATTAATCTAAACTAGGTGGCACCTAATTTTGCCACCTAGTCTTGCTGAGTTCCAAACATACAAACAGCAATGAAAAATATTTTGAATAGCGATAATAAATGCAAAGACCACACTCGGGAGGAAATGGGTGGTAAAGACTCTTACCTACTTTATGTGTGAAAAACTTTCCAGCAGATTGATTTTACTGTAAATACTGGATTATTACAAACTTAGGAATTCTTTTGTAAGTACAAATATGTCTTTGATGGTAGCAGAAGGAGGCTGTAATGTAGATATACTCTCAAAGTATGTGTCTTTCTATGAACGCAATTGTATGTAGATGAATATATGTTTGTACATACACTAAGACATTGTTTTTCCTGCTCCACCATAAGTGCAGAAAATTATGTTGTTTGCTCTGTACTGTTCTCTTGCTGAATATGGTTCCTCTGAACCTAAGACAAACTCCAAATCATCCTCTAGCCGTCTCCTTACTGTGCAGAACAAGATAAGCTTAGAAATAGTTGACTTCGTTGTTGCTATTTACATTTCTGTTTCATATACATGACTACTACTCTTTCCTTTTCACCTTTAAACAATGGGCCAGGCATCTGCTAAATGTGGCTATGTGTGTTCAATCTGTGACTACACTTAACTTCTTTTTTTCTTTTTCTTTCTTTCTTTTTTTTTTTAGGCATATGGAGTGCAACAACTTACATTGCATTTTCTCCACTGAGCTACAAACTCATCTTCAGTCTTTTCCCTTTCTCCAGGGTCCAAATCATTTTCTAGTTTCTGTAGACCTTTTCTGAATTCCTGGATATCTGCTTCTAATTGTCTGGCTTGGGACTTGTAGGCACTTTCTGACTGCTGAATCTTGAGCAATCTCTGTTCCTCCTCATTGCTCAGCAGTTTCAACTTCTCCAAGGCTTTTCTCAGCTCATAGAGTTCATCCTTCAATCTCTCAGCTCCCAGTGGGCAGGTATTTTGAATCACATCTGCACACTGATTTTCAAGGTGCTTCAATTTCTTTGCACCGCTCCTAATATTCTTGGCAATTTCCTGCAGAAAGAAGTTACATATATTAGTTGTGGGAATGGGAAACTGGGGAAAAGGTGAAAGCAGACAGAAAAGAAGACCACCTCTCCTAGTTGTACATATATTCTTTTCCACTTTTTGAAGTTTGATATGCTTTTTTTTCAAATGACCAGAAGTCAGAGTCACTTGACAGCCATCTGTATAATACTAACTGCTATGATTTTGAAAATATTGGCTCAGAAATGGTTATCACCTGAGGTCCCTGGTGAAGAAAAAAGGAGCTTCAGGCAGTGAAAAGTACCAATAAACAGATCTATGAGATTTAAAACTGAACAGCTTAAGGCATGGTACCACAATATTATAAACTGATCAAAAACAGTTTAGGTGTTTAGATATTGTTACTGAAAGACATGGTTTAGAGGGAAATATTAGTTATAGGTGGGCAGTTGGACTGGATGATCTTAGAGATCTTTTCCAACCTTTGTGATTCTATGATTCTGTGATTTAAAACTGATATTTTGATCACTCATTCTAAGTGCTCAATGTTTGTGAGCCTGCAGGCTCTATTTGGATCATATTTACCAAATGTCATTCCTTTAGAAAGTTTAAAAGGGCAAGATGCTTAAAGAACCACGATCAGGCTTTAAGAAGGGAAAAAAGTACAAAAAAATCAATCAAAACCAAAACTCAAAGTAGGCTATCCTGCAACCCCTGGTAAAACTGAGAGAGCTTTGTATGCTACTGATTTTCAGACCTGTGATGACTCTTTATCCATAAACCCATGTTACAACAACCATCACCTTACTTTGTTTGTAATAATTCTTTTCTCAAGCACACCCTTGTGTGGTTTGAGAAACGCATACAGGCATGGAAAACACATAATCCTGCTTCTTTGCCAAAATTGTATCAATTAAGGACCTTCAGTGCCATTAGTCTGTCCTCCACTGAAGACTTGGTTGTTTCTCCAATGCAGCAGTTTAATCTTTCCGTCACACCATTCAGCCACGATTGAAACTGGTTGATGTTAGTGCTGTATTTCTTGTGCTCTTCAGTTATCTTTTCAAGCAATTTCACTCTGCTCTGTAACAGGAGAGATCAGAAGCAATGAGGACTGTGCTTATCTGGCTCTTTCTCCTTTATACCATAACCCAGAATGTACAAACAGGAATCCCTTTCCTTGAGCCCCAACAGCTCTTTGCTTACACAAGAAGCAGCACAAAAGATTGCATAAGCACTTATGCCTGTTGTGCTGCAGGGTCTCAGTGGGTAGTTTAGTTCCCAGAGAGACAAACTTCAGGGTCCTATCAGGCAAATTTCTAGCCTCTCCTCTCCAAAATTTCTCAATCTCTCATTAGAAAAGGATAAGAGACAGAAGTCCATTTCTGGTTTGGACTTCACAGGATAAACAGATCAGAAATGATCCTCGTGAGGGTTAAAAATAAAGATGAGCACACCACAGATTTACTTTACTTAGATATAACAATGAAAAAAGGAGAAACTGTGCCACAGGCACATATTGTTTCCATGGTTATTATTTAAACAGCTGGTAAAGAAAATAACTGTCATCTTCATAATGCAACTGAAAAGTTTTTCAATTTGCAGATCACAAAGCATGTTCTGGTGCTAGTTCAGAGCTTGGGAGCAAATTTAAATCTACGTGATGCATGCTTGATTTTCTCTGTGCATCCAGAAAACAATAATGCCTGTACTTATGTGGGCCTGCACTTGGTGAATTGCTCCTTGCAGATCCAGTCTGGAATCACTCGAGATGAAATCATTCTGCTCAGTCTACCCTTATTTGTCACCTGAAGTTCAGTCCTTGCTGAAGGATGTGAATCACAAGGAATTCTGTTCTGTTGTTTCATTAGTATAATACCCAACCAAATGCTATTTCCTACAAATCAGGCTGATTTTTTCTTGCCCTTCACCGGTTGGCATGGAAAGCAATTGAGTTACACTACGGTTACCTTAGGAAAAAAGCCTGCCCCTTGTGGAATGCTCTTAGTGCATGCAGCACCCTTGAAAGGCTGTGCTGTAACTAAAACAAATTGAGTTTGTTCTGTGTGAGTGAGCCTAGGATCTCCCTTGTGCTGCAGCTGGGACTTTGCCCTTCACCTTGGGACAGGTTATCCCTGTGGTGCAAAACAAACCCACCATCTTCCGGTGGCACCATGCCAGCCTTTTTCCACATTGACATTCTTATCTCTGCTCAGTTGTGCAAACCAAAAGTAGAGGTATAATTGGAGCTCTCTGTGGCCAATCAAGATTTATCCAACAAAAACCACTTAACTCATCTCCTATGCCCCCTTGCCTTGATTCTGAAATCTGCAAAGGTTAAAAATAATTTGCACTTGGACCTCAAGTTAGGTATTTGGGGAATGCAACCTTTATAGTGGTGTAAACAGTCCAAGCACTGAACTAAAACAATCAGTCCAAGTTTATTTGATTCCAGAAATTAGGCTAATTTATTGCACTTATAGAAGCTCCAAAGGGAGCAAACAAGAATAACAAAACAGAGTTATTATTAAACACGAAGGTTTTATGATAATATATAGAGCATTAAAAAGGAAGTAGAAATGATCCACCCTTGCATAGTCTATTGAGTCAAAACAAAGCATCATGCAGCTTGAATAGTCCTGCCTGATCCATTATGTCAGGGGAGAGATTAGATGTAAACAGACAGGCTGCAATAGCTGTAAAGCATAAGGCCAGCAAGAACCTGAGTGCCCCCACCAAGAGGTTAGGCAGTGAAATTTTCTTAACGTTGGGAAAAACGATATTGATTGCTTCTGCTAGGATAGCTGTTTGGGGAACAGAACATTGTTAAACTCCATCTCCACGTGCACTGGGTTAACGTGAGGAGATTCAGCAAGGTTGTGGCCCTAAAAGAAGAAGAATTGGTTCAGTATGGGCTGCAGAGGAAGAAATGTGTCTGGGCAGGATCTGCCCAGCCCTAGGTAGTCACAGAGGTAGATGGAGGCATAGCAAACACTCTCTCTTAAAGTTCACTTAGAGTCAGCAGAGGCAAATCAGCCTCATCTGGAAGGCAATTTAAAGCACATCAAGGAAGTTCCTGCTTTAAATCCTTCTGTGGCATCTCAGAGTGCAGAAAGCTCCCATAGCCTCTCCTGGTGCTTTCAGACCTGGCACAAGAGGCTTGGCTTTATGAATATCTAGGCTTGAATTGACAGAGACAACTCGGATTAAAATAAATGTGCTCAGGCATATTTGATAAATTTGATTAACTATCGACATACAATATACCGTAACTTTTCTTACCATCACCAGTCATAATTTATGCTTTAACACACAACCTTCTACATCTGCATATTGCTATTTTGCTTCTGCTATTTGCTATCAGATGAGGGAAAGCGTTTGTGAAATACCACCACATATAAAAATACCCCTGCTGATGTAATTAACAGAAATTGACATTTCTTTAAAACTTGGAAATTATAAGGGCACATGTGAATACTACAAGGAAGGAAAAAAAGTTTGTTCGTACCACAGAAGCAATGTAAAACAAACAAACAAACAAACAAAAACATTTCAGAATCTGCATCCAAAAGTTTGCCCTTCTGACAGAGATGGACAACAGCACAGTCTCTAAAAATGCTCTTCAACACAAGTGTAATCTACAAACACCAGGAACCCACCCCAGCAGGCAGCTCAGGCATTCAGCTGGCATCTGCAATTCAGATTTCGTCTAGCCTCTTATCACTCATGGGGCCAAAGCAAACCTCCTGCAACTCCTGTGTCTCTTTCATTCATTCCTCTCTGCCATTGGAAGAGGTGGAAGGGATTTTTTTTAACTACTACTGTGCCTTCCAATATGAGTCCTACAGTGCCTGTAGCCTTTGCATTACCTAATGAGTTTCACATTTACTTCAGCTGCAAAAGCCAAGGCTTCTCAATCCCCCTTCTTTATTCCATACCTCCTGAAAGAGATTTCTAAACTGGATTCTCTCACCTCATCTTTCTGTGAAATGTGGTATTTGTAGCCCGTGCCAAAGGAAAGCTTTCCTGGCACCTCAGTTGGCTGGAGATATAAAGACATATTTTACCTAAGTACTATGAGTCACTTCCTGATCTCATTTACACCAGCACATATCCAACTCAGCCAGAGAAATCACACCGCATAAAACCAGTCTCAGAGAGGTCACATTCAGACCCCAACTATTTAAATTACTTGTTTGAAAGAACTGCCTTATTAAAATGTCTAATGACTGTCTCCTGCTTCAAAACCAAAAATAAACATTGGTTAGAAGGGACTGAATGAAAATTTGAAATTGCAATCTAGATACAGAACACTTAAATTCCAAGGACTATTATTATTTATAAAACCAGTTGCTTAATCGTGAAGAGAACCTTTAAGAATAAAAAATCAATGTTGAGTTGCTGGTCTGTGGGTGGCTCTACAGCCTATCTGCTACAGTTCTGCAATTTCTGCAGCACTTCTGTTTCTGAATTTCTCTGTTTTTTGAAGATAATTATCATTAGTAGTTTTAACTTTCTTTTTACTAAAAAATATCTGAATGCCATGTTCACAAAAGCTGATAGCTGTTTTTTGTTGTTGTTTTGTGGAGTTTGTTTTGCTTCAAATTCTTTGAATAGAAAAAGAGCAAGCATAGCAGTGACACGAGTATCCCAAAGTTGCTTCCTCAGTGTGACCTGAAGTTAGCTATTGTTACAACAGTGCTCAGGGAGGGATAGCACATGTTTCAGCTCTGGACTAAGATGTAACATGGGAACAAATGTAAGGCAATATTAATAGAGAGATAGAGAGCAGAGCCGGTGTAATAAAAATTGTTTGTGTTTGTATTAGGTAATTCCAGCATACACAATTCTTGGAAGTCACTACGAGACACAGATTTTAAGAACCTCTATATGCTGTGTGTATTGACATATATCTTGAATATTTGGGTACTCTTCTTGAGTACTTTGTGTATTTCTACTGATACGGGCTAATAAGAAACTGAATTCTTCTCCCTATATGTGAATCTCTGCCCTTTAGCCATGCCACAGAGTTCAATCTTATTTTTACCTGAGTTTCTTTACCTGGGAGCAGGGAGGCTCAAAGGAAATCACTGGCACTGAAAGATAAACTAGAATGTCTTATATGAGCCGATCTAACAGCTGGCTAGACTGGAAGATTAGCAGCAAGCATGAGTTAGTATCTGTGTCCAGTGGCAATCCCTCAGATTCTGGAACCAGCCAGCTGACTTCAGTGTTGGGCTGCACCTGACTTATCTCAGTGCTTCCCAGTTCTGTAGCTCTGGATCTGAACTAATGTGACATCCTCCAACTACTGTGCAAGCTTGGCCACGTGAATAGATACTTTGCACCTGACTACACAAAGATCACTGATGCACCAAAAGGTGACAAATGATTCACACTAGATCATATCAAGTAGCCTGCAGTCACTTTACAACATGCTATAAAGTACATTATGAGAGCATCCCAATTAACAGCTTGAGACACAAAGACTTGCAAACAGTCTGCTGGCTGAAAGAACAGAGGTCTCTTGGCTCTGTTTCTTTTTGCAGTCCTACCAAGGAACCCCCATCACTCAAGAAACACGGAGAGTAAACAATACTGTGTGCTAATGAAATCTAAACACTTCCCATTATTACCTGGGCTTCTTCCCTGATGCTTTCATATTCTGCCTTCATTTTCTTCTGAGCGTCCTCATCAACGCTGGGGTCACCTATCCTGTTGAACAAGGAAGAAGCCTCCTCTAGCAGTGTTTCCAGAAGGACCGACTGATTTAAGACATCATTCAACAGAACCTGAGCGTGGCTCAGCTGCCACTGCTTCTCCTTTAAGCCAAGCTGCAACTCAATGTCAGGCTCCAAGGTCACCCTCATGTTGTGAATCCATATGTAAAACTCATCTTGAGCTTTCAGGTACTCACTCCAGTGCAGCCAGACCCACTCAATACGGCTGTGAGGGAGAGCAAGAGAGATGAGTTAGGTGAAATCATGATGGGATCAGTGCAGATTGACAAGCTCAAAAGGCATTCAAGGAAAAGGACAAAGCTCAGCATTTTTAAGTTGCACTGATTATAGAAAGTCACATTTCACATCTCAGGTCCTGCCTGCTCTGAGGAGGAAATATTCTGTAAAAGGTATTTTTGCCTAGCAAAACTCATCATTCAAGCCCATGAGATGGACTTGGTTGGACTAGATGATCTCAGTGGTCTTTTCCAGCCTTAGTGACTCTACCATTATATAGATAGGCTGGCTATGAAGGGGGAGTGAGATGAGGTCCCACCATCTTTCCCAGTTCTACTCCATTTCCCCAAGATCGCCCATACTGCCAGGCAGAAAACACTTCATGAAATCACTAAAGAGACAAATACTTCAAAGAGCAGTGTTGTGCTTGTCTTACCTGTGACAGTGAGTAATGTAAATGGCTGTCTCTTCCCACAAGGCTTTAATGTGTCTCAGCTTAGACAGTACTTCGTGTTTCTTATCCTCACTGATACAGTGAAGAGCAGCATCTGCCTTTGCGAGGATCAAGTCCATTTTCAAGGTGCCTTCTGGTTCCAGATCACGTATTTTCTGTGAAAAAAGATTAAATGAGAATGAAAACTTGAAAAAGAAGCAAGCATAACTGATGAAATTTTATCTTAGTTTTTTTCCAGGAATTCTTAAGCCCCTGCTGCAAAGCTTCACCTGAGTGGAAAATAAGAACTTTCCCTTAACCATCTAGACTTTGTTCTTTATCATTAAACATTTTAACCATTAAACTTTATTTTTAACCATCCTACAGTGTTGAATTGAACTGAAAACCATATAGCAGTTGAAAAACATTTTCTTAGCTAAAAAAAAAAAAAAAAAAAGCCATCTCCACATCTCCATTTCAAAGTCATGAAACATATTTAAAGATCTCCTATTGCAAATAAAAGTTGCCACAGAAAACAAGCCAAGAAAAACTAATTAGTGGAATTTTGTCTGCTACCACATTTTACTCTGACCCTAAATTGTTAAATTATGAATTAGAGAAAACATGTATCTTGAACTAATCAGAAAGCCAAGAACCTCAGTTAAGCTATGTTATCTGAAGCAAACTTTCTTTCTTTAGCCAAAGACAGAAAATTAGCACAATTTCTGTAAAATATTACAGAATAACTATGTCCAGATTAGGGTGTAGCTTTCAGCATCGCTTTATGCAAACTTCTGATCTAATAAGATTGGTTTTTCTTGCTGTTCTTCCACAAATTCCTGGCTTGCTGCAGCCCCTCCAGTTGCAAGAAAAGTCTTCTATAATGAAAACATGGAGAAGTTTAAAACTAGCAGCTACTTACAGAAATATCAGGCCCACAGGATGTGTGTCAATAAAATAAAATAAAACTGAAAAAGTCAAGTGGTTGTACAAGCATTCTACTTCTTCAGATCTGCTTAAATGATTGCTATCACTGGTGGACATTTTCATCAATAAATTAACAGAAAAAAAATCACAGGAAGGAAGCATGAAAAAACAAACAAACAAACAAAAAAAAAAACAACCAAAACAAAACAAAACAAAAAAACCCTGCAAGCCAGATGCAGAAAAAAGAAACTGAAAATTATGACTGGATTTAAAAACAGCCAATAGATAAGGTGGTGAGCACACCATGAGGGAAGGAGAAGTCTGACAAAGAAGTCAGGACAAGGGAACAGAAGGTGGGTAAGGTAAAACAGAAAGAGAAAACAGACACTTGTTTCTCTTTAGAATCATGAATTTCTAAAATCTAAAATGAAGATCTCTCTATCATGATTTTTGGTGTATTACAGATATCTTCCAAAGCCCACAAAATTCAACATACTTCAGTTCAGCTATATGAAATCACCACAGATCTCTAAAACTTGTACCTCTGCCATGGCTGCACTCCCTTTGCCAAACAACCACTCTCCTTATTCAAGTTCCCAGACTTTCTGACTGTCTTTGGAAACTGCATATATCAGTTCTCCAGACGAAAAGAAAAGATGAAAATTAGGTAAGCACAGAAATAAATCCATAGTCCATGAGGAAATACTCTAGGTTCAAGCCAGTCCATGAACAGACTTTATATTAGGCCAGAAGCCAGTCGCAGCTATGGAAGAAAAAAAGACATTGCTGCACCATTATGTAAAGCACCTTGCTTTCCATGTAAACCTGCAATTTTTTCTCAGAGCTGTTAAACTTTTTCAGAAGAAGCAGGCCAAACTTCAGTAGACACAAAACTACATACTGTAAATTTACTGGGTAAATTACAACAGAAAATGTACGTTTGATTGATTTAAAGAACAGATTAGTTAGAATTGATGGTAATACAAGTATAAAAAATAGTTTCAGTGTTCATCACAGAAACATAACCACTCCCTGTAATCACGAATGGTATAGGTTGGAGAAAACGAAGCGTATCATTTTCTGAGATAATAAGAGCAAGATAACATCTAATGAAACTGAAGTTAATAAATGCAACATCACAGTAAGACAGCATGATCTGCAATGGGATCTCTGCGAGAGAGTTATACAAGAGATTAAGTCAGAACAACAAAAAATGAAAATATTCACCTTTTAATTAGGTGGATTAGAAAGGGGAGCTGTAAAGCTTCTTATCACGTCTTATGAAAAAGGACAAGTGGATTACTCTAGACCAGCCATTACTAGGACACTTGAAATCTTTCTCTCTCAGTGCCAGCCCTCAAAGGGACAGAACACTGAAGTCCAACTCTCTCATGTAATATACTGGACTTTGGCAAATCAGTATCTGGTAATTACAAATTGCAACTCAGTCTCTTTCAGGTTTGAGCACGCTCATAGGAGCATGAAAACACTTTAACCTGCCAAACCTGCTGCTCATCTTCCAAATCAATGAGAATATCTTGGAAGCCAGTAGTCAAATTTTTCTCCTCTTTTTCTGCTGCACAGTTTTGCAGACAGAAAACTTAGAAATAAGAATGAGGCAATCCCATCCACACAGGACCAATATTCCAGCAGCCATGTGTAGTTGGTAGCTTCTTAACAGAAAACTCCAGAGCTCACAGCAATAAGTGCAACTGTTGGCAGTGACAGCCACTTTTGAACCATCACATCATTCTTCCCTTACCTCTGTCTCTCTCAGCCTGGCTTCTAGGGCAGATCGTGGTCCCTTGGTGTTGTCATTGATGCTCAGTCTCTCTTGGATGGCCTTCATCCAAGCTTCTGCATTCTCCACGCTGCTGTCAAATTCATCCTGTAGCTGCTGAGTCATTGCATTCAAAGAAACTGAAAGGATAAGAAGAAAGGTAAGCTTTTAGGTTAAATAGGAATGCATTCAAGGAAAGCTAAAGGAGTATGCATAGGGGGATAACGATGTTGTGGCTTTCCTTCTTAATGACAATACAAAAAGCTTCACCCATATAGCATTTAGCAGAGCACAGAGAAGATGCCTGCACTGCAGCTTTCCCAAATGAAAATCTACAAGGAAACAGAAAGAAGGTAGGGAGCAGTGGGAGGCTTCAGCACAATAAACAGATTTAATTCATAGTTTCCAGATGAGATTAATTTGGTGTCTGTTGTGTATTCCAGATTGGCTACATAAATCACAAACATATTCTGTCTCTGCCCAAAGTCTAGTCAGGACAAAACACTCCTTGTGCCCTTCCAAACTCATGTACAGAACGTGACACCAGACTTGCACAACAATTGGCATATGCTTAACTTAGAGTTCTATAAGCCCTTTAAAGCTGGTGAGATCAGCATCAGATTGCTTAGGCCCTCAGTTAACTTGTTCTGCTGAGACCATGGAGAGGTCTGAAGGCACGTGCAGTGAATCTGAGAGAAACTGATGCAGTGAGAACTGGCCAGCAGCTGCCCAGACAAAGCACTAGAAGGTATCACATAGGAATATCAGCACTTCTACATTTCTTCTTTTGATATTTCTTTTATTTCGTGCCAGGCTCTTGTGTGCTACACCAAGCTTTTTATTTTTCCCTCCCTCTGAGTGAATGTGACGGCTGTTTGCTCTGTTAATATGTTCTTGTGCCTTCTCTAGTCAGGCTGCAGACCCTCTGCTGCCCAGATGGTAACAGTGACCCTGCCATAGGGGAGAGGCATCCTCTGTCAGCCAACAGGCTGAACTTGACTAATCAGGGTTAATCATAGTGAAGCCCCTGAACATCAGCTCTACTGAAGTGAACAGAAAGCCACCAACATTAAATGGTTTTGGATCACATCCTACAGCTACTGGCAGCCAAGCAGCTAATGTTCCCTGTAAATTCAAATATTCTTACTCTTTGTTATTCATAATGGAAATATTTTCTCAGCACAAAGCGTGACGACTAATTATTGAGCCTGAGTTTGTTGCACAGAATTCCATGCTGTAGCAGAACCCTCCATTTCCATGGGACAATTCACATGGGTGAAGCTGCTCAGTGCACAAGGCAGAACATGGCTTTTAGTGAAGCTGGACTAAGGGGGTTTTGTAACCATTTTAACTGTCAGCAACTTCATCTTTATACAAGGAACAGCCATCCTGTGCCTGCCCAGCGGCAGAAAGCTTCTCGCCATCCTGACAGTGCTCTTGTCAGTGATGCACAAGGATTCATGCCATATAGGATGTTCCTCCCTCTACTCCTGGTGCATTTTGTTCCATGTCAGCTCAGGAGGAACACCACATTTGTGTACGCAATACTTGCAATAAAAACAGTCTAAGTTGTTGCTCCTCAGGCTTCAGCAGGCTTGATGCTCAACAGCCCCATTCCAGAGAGAAAACTGCATCTACAGATCAGCAGTTATCCTGCCCCCAAGAATAGGTCCACCCTCATTGTGCAGGCACAGGGAGCTGCGTTTGCACAGAGGGGAGTGGGAGATGGCAGATGAGGTAAAACTCAAAGCTCCAACTGTCAGAACAAGAGGTTAATTTTGAAGAGTGACTTCACCCTGAAGAAATTAAAGAATAGAACAGAATATAGTAGATTTAGTAAGGGTGATGTGGTATGGAGTGGCTACCAGACATACAATAGGATATATAATTAAAGCTAAAATGACTTGAATTAGAAGAATCCTGAGGATGAAGCCAGTTCAAGGAGTAAAGTTACTTTCAGGTAACTGTGTCCTTCAGTAACTGGTGCAGAACTGCCATTTCCTGGCTATAATAATCTAAGTCGTAGAGAACACACAGCTCTACAGCTGACTGATGGGCTCCATTTCACATTAACATTACAGGTAGCCATACAGTCTGTCCCCTAACTCCTTGCACACTGCATATGTACATTTCTGGGCAAATGGTATCTGAAAGCATGAGTGTAAGCCGATTCCAGTTATGCTCTTGTGAAATTAAAACTCAGGGTACATTTGCCGGATAGACTCAGATGAGGAGTGACATTCATTTCCTAGGAGAGGTTTCTATTCCTGGTAACATCCATATCATATTTAAAATTGGCTTTAGAACTCTAGTTATGAACTAGATCATAGAGACCATTGTGTTATTTCAGTCTCACTTCTTATAGAAAGCACAGGACAACCAAATAGGGCTAAGAAACACAGGAAAACCTACTTCCATCTTTCATAGAGAAACCCCACTTATGCTGCTGTCCTCTGAGAGTGAGGATTTTCTGTCTTAAAACTAGAGGCAGGGTCCCCCATGCCACACACAGGCATTCCCTGCAGGCAGCCAACAGGAAGCATGAAAATGTTATTCCAATGTTAAGATCACCAGTTTGCCAGAAAAGCTTACCAGAAGAAAAAGAAACACCTTGTTACTCCAACTGCCCGCATAACATCATTTACTGATTTTTATTAAGTAATTAATGCAATCTAGCATCATAAAGATGATTAAATGTAACATGAACTCTGACCCAGCCCCAGGCAGATTCCTGGGCTGCAAGCTGCAATAGGTGGCAGCTGGCTCTGCCTGGTGGGGCTGTCCTCCCTCTTTCCCAGCACCAGGCAATCAGATCCCAGCAAAGCTCTTAGCAATAGAGTCCTCAGATCTTCTATTTTCAAAGACCTCACAAGCCTTAAAGGCACAGTTTGGCGTTTTTATGACTTTCTGCCTGCTTGGGAAGAATAGCTGTCAAAACTACTTGAAATTTTACAGTAGATGTAATACAGTTTTTTTGTTTGTTTGTTTGCTTGTTTTTTTTTGCAAGCAATCCTAAGGCTAGGATAAATGATGACTGGATAAGCATTATGAATCAAGAGTATTTACCAAATTCCTGCTGCATCATTGGGACTAAATGATTGAGCAGTACTGGAGACGAAATGCAGGGCTCTGATCAGTACAGAAAATACAAAGCAGATATGACAGCCCCTGAAGCAGGCCAGAGCTGTTGTGTGGTGCAGAAGCAGCACTCACGGACCAACCTGCAACAGGTGCAGGCCACTGGGGCCACCTGCAACACAGTGCTCCTGTCCCAGGGCATGGGCACTAGGACCTGCTATGCCGGGGGAAGGCTTCCCCTTCAAGACAGGTGCAATCCTCTGAGCAGTTTGTACCAAATTATTTTTATCACACTCATTTTCAGATAGCACGTAGGTATTTGAAACAACATTTCTTTTTAATGCCACTTGAATGGTGTATTAGTTCATGCTGTGAAAGGCTTATTTATACTGCACGAAGCATTTAACATCTCTGTACATATGTTACTAAATGAGGGTAATAACCAACCGTAAAAAATTCTGGCATAGATAACGGGACACTCAGCATAACCCAGTGTTATTTCTCCAAGTGAAATAATGCAGTCACTTAGTGCAGATAAGGAGGAAGCATAATTCAAGGTGCTAAGCATAACTGGCCCAGGAGAACTCCTGCAGCATACATAGATGTTATAAAAAGTATGCTTACATTTCACATGCAGGAAAATACAAGGCACAAATCAGCTCCAGAACTTTTGAGCTGAACATCAACCCACAGTACTGGGCTTTCCATTATCTCTGATTCATCCCCGCTGGCCCCAAAACACTTCTGGAAGCACACTGCAGAAGGCACAATGGCTCAGCCCAGGGATCCCAAGGCAACAGCATGATGCAGATCAGCTCAGTCCCTCATGCAACTCAGCCAGCATTCCTGGGGCCGCATTTCTGAGCACTTCCCAGTTAAGTGTATCTACTCCAGCATTCTCCCTAGTGCATCTAATAGCTCTCACTAGAGTATCATGAAATGTAATATTTGTAACACAGTACTGGGAGCTTGTAAAGTTATTTTGCAAGTGTGGTGTCTTTTTGGTAGGATTATCCTATTATTTTTGCAATGTTTCCTAATGTACTTTTTTCCTCTCTGCCAAGTCACACAGCTTTTTTTTTTTTTTTTTCCTTAAACTTCTTAAGACATTTCTTGCAATCACTCCAACTTTAAACACTCTTTTCAAACTGACACCTATAAAACACAGGCTTTTACATAGTTTCAGTATGTTTTGGCTTCCTGCATTCATGTACTACTTGACTAGTTTCCAGAACCAAGTTCTTACAAAAATAAAAGGAAAGTACAAAAATACTGCAGGAAATTCAAATCACTCACAATGAGGGAGGCTGTTTTTCAATAATTGAAATACTTCAAACTTTAACCCTTTCCATTTGGTTCTGGGATTGCACATGAAAAAGATTCACAAAAACCCTACTGGAGCGTGCCAAGTTTTACACAAATGCATGAATTCGGAAGCAATTGTGATTCTGGGAATTGTTTGGTTCCTGGAATAATTTAATAACTCTTCGGTTTCCCTGGATGCCGTAAAAGAAGCCGAGCAAAGACACAGAGCTCCAAATGCTGCAGGCTGGAGAGGAGGAGCGCTCATGGAGGGAATTGTTCATGGTCAGCTCTATGAGAACCACATTTCCAGCAGCAGATGCTTTGTCATCACGGGACTGAAAGCCTCCAGCAAAGCCTCAGCTAGGCACAGCAGAATTAAACTGGCTGAGTAGGTGCAGAAGAGCTTAAGGTTGCAAATTTAAGATGTAATTATTTCCAGTATGGTTTAGAGGTTCAAAACATTAGTCCCATTACCTTGCCCATCTTCCAGCACGGCCTTTTCCTGTGTTATTTGCTGTTATTTGTTGTTCATGACAGTTAGTAATTGCTTGCCCTAATGAATGAGCTCGAGAGTAAATAAGATGCTTCTTTGTTATATCTATTTAAATAAACACATCCATAACCAAGTTACAAGCATCCCTTTCAGTTGAGGAATGCTAACATCATGAGTACTACAGCAGTCACACCATAACCACCTCCTTTCCCCTACAAAAGAATCTGTGGAAGCCTACAGCTAATGCAAGACATCCAGTTACAA